AGACGTTATAATATTCTATTAAATTCAAAATAGAAGGGGGCTTTTTGTGTTTACAATCTGCAAAAATATGTTATGAAAACACAAGTAAATATTCATCTGTTTTTGCAGCGAAGACATTTTGTTATGTCTCTTTTTGAAAACTGAAGTTTTTGTAAATGTGATTGATGCAGGGTTACACATTGGGAATTGCTCTTCCTCAATTTATTTTAGACTTAAATGGAGAATCTGGTGGGGTACTGTTGTTGTGTACTGTTGGTCTCTGTATTCTCTTGCCACTCGTGATCGCCTCAATATATCTCTGGAGATCATCTAAGTATACCGGGAGCTATGTTAAGCTTCAAACTCGTCAAGCATATTTCGAGTTAATGAAACCTTCTTTGACTCTAAGCAAAGTTATGGAAGTTTTCATCAAAGCAACGGAATACGCAGAGGTTCCAGTTCGTAAAGCCGATGATGAATCTCTAAAGAAACTCTTTACGTCTGTTAAAAGTGAGCTAAATCTGGATCCTAAGAAGATGAAGCAAGATGAGGCTAAGTTCTGGAAACAGAATCCTGCAATTATCAAGGTTGAATTTTTTTTTTTAACCCATTACAACTCAAAGTATTGAATAATTTTTGGAAAATGCTAACATTTTTTCCCTTTTTTTCTGTAACAGACTGAGCTTTTGATACAGAAACAATTAACTCGTGAATCAACCGTTCTGTCTCCGGCTCTGCAAAGTGATTTCAGGCGTGAGCTAGAGTTTGCGCCGCGTCTCCTTGAAGACTTAATGAAGGTCTTATACATATACTCTATTTTTTTTGCTTACCACATTAATCTGATAAAATAAAGCTTTATAACAAAGTTGATGATGACCTCAAACTCCTCTATCAACCCCTCTACATAAGATTACAAAAGGTTTCGACTTTCGCTTTAACAGATGGCGGTTATACCCCGCAATGAACAACGGCATGGATGGTTAAGTCCTGCACTCGGAGTAATGGAGCTATCTCAATGCATTGTCCAGGTATTAAGATTTTGTCCAAGTTCACTTTTTCTCGAAACATTTAAGATTTCAGCTTTTATTAATGTTGTTGTTTAATCGCAGGCTGTTCCTCTTAGTGCGAGGAAGTCATCTTCAGAAAGCATTGCTCCTTTCTTGCAACTCCCTCATATCAATGAATCTATTGCTAAAAAGATAGCGTTGCAGGTTAAATCATTCCAAGAGTTTCAAGAACTGAGCATGGAAGAGCGTTCTAAACTGCTCAGAGAGGTTGCGGGTTTGTCAGACACCGATGTTCTAGACATCGAAAAAGTGTTTGAAATGATTCCTTCTCTGAAATTAGAAGTCACTTGCAAAACAGAAGGTGAAGAAGGTATTCAAGAAGGTGACGTTACGACAGTTCAAGCTTGGATCACTCTGAAACGTCCCAATGGACTCATAGGCGCGATTCCTCACTCGCCTTACTTCCCTTTCGACAAAGAGGAAAACTTTTGGGTTCTTCTTGCGGATTCGAACAACGTCTGGTTCTTTCAGAAGGTTAGTTTCATGGATGAAGCTGGAGCTATAACCGCTGCATCGAATACTATTAGTGAGACAATGGAAAGTTTAGGAGCAAGCGTTGAGGCAAAAAATGATGCAGTTAGAGAAGCTGTTGAGAAGGTTAAAAGTGGGTCAAGATTGGTAATGGGGAGACTCTTAGCACCTGCAGAAGGTACTTACAACTTGACTTGCTTCTGCCTAAGCGATACTTGGATCGGTTGTGACCAAAAGACATCACTGAAAGTCGAGGTTTTGAAAAGAACCCGTGATTTGGAGGATGAGAATGCAGACGAAGGTATGGAAGAGGATGAGGAAGATGAGATTGAAGAAGAGGATTACGAAAGCGAATACAGTGAGGACGAGGAAGATAAGAAGAGAGGATCGAAGAAGAAAGTAAACAAGAAAGAATCGAGTTCTGAAGAGTCAGGATCAGATGAAGAGTGAAAAAAACAAAAAGGAGTTAACTTTGATATGAAATACAATAGTTTTTGTTTTCAAAGCTACACAGTGATACTCAAAAAGATTTTACATTTCTTTGTTCTCCGCTGAGTTTCATAGTCTTTTTTATGGTTTTGACATTAGTTGACTCTTCAATTTGTCTTGCTCTGACACTTCTAAGCTCTTTAACCTCAAAAAGTTTACAACTGATTTGGTCATGTTGTCGTCAGAGACCCCAAACTCGGTCCAAGAAAGCTTCTTTGAGAACTTTAACTTTTCCTTACATGATCCAACTGTAATTCATACCATCTCATAAGTTCGTGAAGCAAACGCCTTTAAGTCAAGAAGAGTCTAAATGATCAAGACAGGGTTCTCTAGAAGTTCCAATCTGTCTTTGATTTCCACCCAAAAG